CCTTGCATAGCAAGAAAAGTTCATTTCTATTGCATTCCATACATACACAATCTGACTACAAATAATTTGAATATATATCTTTGTTATACATAAAAGTAAAAAATAAAAGACAATCTCAGTCTGATAGATTAGAGGTACATTTTTGAAAGAGGCCACATTCTGGTGATGACTGTGCTTTCAAATTTAAGTTTACAAAAGATTTTTATGCCTAAAAATCTATATCAAATTGGAGCTCAGTAATAGAGACTGTTACAGAATGAAGTGTTCATGGGCAAAGATGTCGATTTCTTTGGCAATTAACAAGCATCTCAACAAGAATATGCTGCTGCTTTGAACTTAAGACACAGCTCACAGCAGAAATACCCACATCATCCCTGAAATTGAAAGTAACAATAATGCAGGGTGCTCAGGAATCACCCCAGGCTCAGAACAGAGTTAGGTTGTCCCATGTTTAATAAACTCAAAACTGTCAAAACAGCAACTATTGTGCAAGTGTAGGAAGAATGTTTCAGTTTATAACAGATGATAGTAACAAAATTATTCAACTTATCTCCATTGTCAAGGACATAAGGCAACAAAAGATGAACAAGATTATTCAAGCTTGCGTAAAATGGATGTTAAAAACATTATTAGGTCCGGAGATGTAAACATTTGAAGGTTAACAAGGACCATATAGAAGCAAAAATAGAATGTAGCTTTAAGATCTAGAGTCAATTTCAACAGATCAACTGCATCCAAGACTGTTCTACCTCCTATTACAGTTTAATGTAACAATAAAACAAAGTAATTCAGAGCTAAATGCCCTAAATTATATAACCAAATCATATTCAACAACAAATCACATTTATATAGCATCTTTGGCGTAGAAAAACATCCCAAAGTGCTTCATTGGAACATTATCAAACAATTTGATATCATTTGCTGGTCATGGAAAATGGAGATTCACTTTGATCATTGGTTAAATGTAAAGCTAAGAAGTGATAGTAACATTAAAATGAAAATTAGGATTTTCCAATGGATTTCTAGTTGCAGTTATAATATAGTGAGTGTGAAAGTTAAGTTGTGACAGACTACCTCATTATGACTGCACACTACTTGCTTAAACATAAGCAACCTGGCACCAAAGTTATAGTTTCTGCTGTTTCAAGTTCAGCCAATGTTATATTAATACAAAATGATGCACTATTTTCTCATTAACAGAATGATAGAACTTATAATCCAACATTCATGATTACAGTGTACTATCTACACGTCACACTGTTGTAAAAATCATATTGTGGTTGATAGTGGCTGTGAGAGAGGGATACAAACAGCTTACAGAGAGAGATATTGGTAGGTTAAGTATGTGGGCAAAAAGTTAGCAAATGGAGCATAAAGTGAGAAAATATAAAGTTGTTCATTTTGGAGCAAAAGAACATAATATTACTTAAATGCAGAAAAACTATAGAAAGCTGCAACAGCAAGGGGTGGATCAGTGGCTAGCACTGCTGCCTCAGAGTGCCAGGAACCCAGGTTTAATTTCACTCTTGGGCGACTGTCTGTGTGGAGTTTACACATTCTCCCCGTATCTGCGCAGGTTTCCTCTGGGTGCTCCAGTTTCCTCCCACAATCCAAAGATGTGCAGTCTAGGTGAGTTAGCCTTGGGAAATGCAAGGTTACAGGGGTCCAGGTGTCTGTCTGGGTGGGATGCTCTTCACAGAGTCAGTGTGGACCCAATGGGCTGAATGGCCCGCTTCTACAACAAAGGGACTTGGCGGTACTTGCACATGAAACACAGAAAACTAGCACACAGGTGCAACAGGTATTCAGGAATGCTAATCGAATATTAGCCCTTATTTCAATGAGGTTGGAATATAAAAGTACGGAACTGTTACTGCTGCTGTACAACATGTTGGTGAAGCCATGTCTGGGATACTGTGAGCAGTTTGGTTCCTTTATTTAAGGTGTGATATCATTTGGTCAGTTCCTTGAAGGTTCAGTAGTATGAACAGCACCAAGGAGGGATTGTCTTATGACCAACAGCTAAACGGGTTGGGGCTCTACTCTCTGGAGTTTAGAAGAATGACAGGTGATCTCATCGAAAAATGTAAAATTGCTGAATAGCTTGACAGGGTAAATGCTGAGAGGATGTTTCCCCTCACGGGACCGTGTAGGACCAGAGGGCATAGTCTCAAAATAAGCAGAAGCCAATTTAAGACTGAGTTGAGGAGGAATTTCTTCTGAGATTTGAAGTCTTTGAAACTCCTTCCCATAGAACGCTGTGGGAGGCCAGAGTCCTTGTGTATATTTAAGGCTGAGATAGACAGATTCTTGATCAGTCGGGTGTCAAGGTGACAGGGAAAGGGCAGGAAAATAGACATGAGGAATGTTGGATCAGCCATGATCCTATTGAATGATGGAGTAGGCTCGAGGAGCTAAAAGGCCTAAACCTATTATTATGGTCCTAAGGATAAGACCAGAATTAGCATTGTGAGAATACAAAATGGACAGATGATAGAAATTCAGATTATATTTTTAAACTGCTTAATAGCAGGTTCTGACTTTTCTTGGGGAATGAAGAGGAGCAAACAAGTTACATCACTTGCAACGCTGTAGCTATTCAGTTTAACTTTTACAATTTTCGAGTAGCATTATCTTGTAATAATTTTAACTAAATCGGTGATTGGAATTCTTGCGACATTGGAGTAAAAATAAATTGTGCACAAGCAGAGAAACTCAGTAATCTTATGGCATTATCATATTTCTCTAATCTGAGCATCACATGATCACAAAATGCTAATTCATTTCTAAGGTTTTGGAGTAGATTTGTAATTCATTTCACAAAAATCTTAAATTCTAACATACCCAAAAATAGCTGTGAAATCTACCTCTCTATTAAATAAATGAGGAATGCAAGTGTTTTCTTCAAAGGAGAAAATAGCAGTGTGTTAGGTTACCATCAGTGTCTGCTCTCTGTCATTGATAAGTTTAAGTAATATCAAATAATATCAAGTTTAAATAATAAATAATTTATTTCTTTAGTCTTTCATGGGATGTGGATGCTACTAGCAAATCTGGCATTTGTTGCTCAAACCTAATTGTCCTTGAAGCCCTGGCCATTTTAGAAAGCAGTTAAGAATCAGCCACATTGCTGCAGGTCTGTAACAAATGCAGATTTCCTTCCAAAATGGATATTACTGATCCATTTGGATTTTTAAACAGTCTTTAAATTTTAAATGAATAGTTTCATAGTCACCATTGAGGCAAGCTTCATTTTCCAAATTTATTAGTTGAATTCAAGTTCCACCAGATACCATTGTGATTTTGAATCCATACTTCAGAGCATTTGCTTGAACCTCCAGACGACTAGTCCAGTATTATGACTACAATGCCAACATCTCTCCATATTAGAAAAGGCAACAAAGCAGGACTAAGTTCTGGCTAGATGGAGGAGAGGTGTGGACATAGCAGGTGGGAACTCAAAACAGAATACTGAACTTCTAACATTTGTATTTTTTTAAAAAAGCATTGTGTGCTGCTTCCTCACATTATGCCTGTGATAGTCCAAATATCAACTTATCACAAATTAGATAAAACCCAATATAAAATATCAAAAAACTTTATTTATAAAATATGAACCTCAAAACCAGCATGTTTACAGCAAAGTTAATTAAATATTGCAAATAAAAATGCCAAACCCAATCTTTGCCATTGTTGAATAAATACATTTCACACAACATTCATCATATTGTGTAGAAAGAAGAGCATTTTGAACTTTTAAATTTGATGGCCCCAGCAAGAATTCCCCACCAAAAATTGTAATTTGATACCTCTGCAGGCATTGGGATAATGCATTGGTAAAATACACATCACTAACAAATTTACATAACCAAATACTTCTTGGAATGTAAGTGAACTATTAGTATAGGACAATTTTATAAAGATGTAAAAATCAAAATTATTTCAAACATATTCTCTAATCCAAATGCAAATGTAGATTTCATTTAATACCACATCTAGTTAAGCTTTACTGAAATATTTCACTGGAAATTGACTTATAGTTCAGTTCTTGCTTACAAATGTAATTGTATTTTCCTGCCAGTATGTTTTTATAATTGCAAATTTAATTTGTGTGGAATCAGCTTCCCAGCCAACAAGTAACATTTCCAACTATTTAAATCATGTAAACCCCAACACATTTCCTATTTTTAAATCGAAAGCTCCCTAATAATTGTATCCATTACGTATCCTGGATTTTTCAACAAAGATGGTGTTTTTATGTAAGACAATATAATTGCCATTATCACCTACAAACTGGGAACTTGAAAGGAGCTGCAACATCTATCCAAAAAGAATTCTACAGACCGCCCCTGCTGGCTCAGTGAGCAGAAAATTGCATGATAGCACTGAGTCAGCAGATCTAAAGCAGGCCAGTGGATACCAGGCAGCAACAGGTCATAGCATCAAGAATCAAGGAGTGAAGATCTACAAGAGATCTCGTTTCAAACTGCTATCCATTAACTCTTACTAAACTGCACATGTTTTTTGACATCAATTAAAAGCAAGATGCAGGACAGAAGTTCTGCTGCAACATCAACTTTCAGGTAACCAGCCAGTCAACATGAATTATCACATGAACAATAGCCACTTTGTAAGATACCATTAAGAATCCAGTAGCCATATAACCGTATTGGAAAGAATAATGCCTTCAGAGGAGAACACCTGAAGAATTTAAAAACAAACTCTCATTTACTTTGCCTCAAACAAAACCCAAGTTATAAAACTATTCTGTACATAAATAGTAGATTTAAATTTTAACAGAATTATAATTTAATCAGCAAATTGAAATATATAACTGGAAGAGGATTTTAACTTAGGCCTAACAAAATATTCATCCCTAACATCTTGGAAAAATACCAATTTAATTAAGACCAGCACATATTAAAATCTGTAAGCTTTATACCCAAGAAGCAATATTGAAACCCAAGATGCCTTCTAGCTCATCAACCACACCCTTCAGCAACAATAACGTATGAAACAAATGGACATGTCTCTGTTCCTAGAATAGTGTGTGTTTACAAATGATTTTTCACCCTAAAAATAACTACATTCTTGTTAAAGGATCATCTCTAAAGAAAACATTGCATTGTGTTATGGTGAGAACAAGGGAATCTAATGTGGAAAGACCTAAACATATAGCATATTAATAACTTGCATGGCCCCTTTTCCCTTCAGATCTGCATGCAAGCTTGCTGTCCATTTTCTTAAAATAACTTACAAAGCTGCTCCTGCCACACTGCTCATCTCCTAAGACCTTGCTCACAGGGAGGGTTCAAGAGAGGTAAACATGGAGATGGACCTTATAAAAACATTATTGTAAAATCCCTATAATTTCAGAACCATGAAGAATTGCACTTCCACTAAATCAGATCTCCAAATGGCCCTGGATCTTCAATGGGAAAAGAAGTGGCAAGAGGATCGGAGGCCATAATTTGGAGATCAGGGAATAGGGGCAAGACTGCAAATTGCAGGGGTGAGGAGCGGGAGGGTGAGCGACAAGGAGAATCAGACAGCTGGAGCATCTTAAAGTAGGATCATTGTCGAAAAGAAGATACTGTAAGTAACTAGCTACATTTTCTCATTTTAAGTTTATTTTTAACAAGTTATTTAATTTAGCAGTATAAAATATTTCAACTTAAAGGGTATAATATTTTAATAACATTTTTCTGAGAAGGAAGGTCCTACTGAATCTAGCTACAATTTTAAGATTGGTTTAATGTTTCACTTGGAAGTCATGATTTTTAGGAATGCAACCACCAGTATAAATGAGGACTTACTGTAAGGATGCTATAAACCAAACAAGAAATTTGAGAGTGTTTCCTTTTATAAATCTTGTAAGACCTCTATTAAAATATAACATTCACAAATCAAATACTAATCTTTAAACTGTGTTCAGATTATACACACAAAATTAAAGACAAAGTGATTATAAATTGAAGGAAAACAATGCAGTGTAGAGAATACAGTTTAAAGGATCAGTTATTTCTGTTACATCAAACATTAACTATGATCACGTTGCTAAATATGTCAGTGATGTTGCCTGTTCAAGGTTTCTGTCAACATATTATTCTGGTAGTACCAGTCATTTCACAGCAGAAAATTTAAGGTATAGATTTAGGATAGGTTGTCTTTGAAAAATTGAAATCAAAATTTTCAGAAACAGTATTAATTACCAGAAACAGATTAACAACTTTTGAGTCACATTCAGTCAGACTAACCACTCTACGTTGACTTTTTCACTACAAACAATGCAGACAAATAAGATTTTTTTCCAAAACAGTGAAATTGTTACAGACTATTTGATGCAATATTTATATCCATGTTCACCAACTTGTTGTGATAAGCAAATCAATTTTTCAATCACAAAGTTCTGGAGTTTTTAACCATTTTGGAAATCAGATTCCGTGGTTTGGTCCAGTCTAATGCAGAAAAGTGGAACCAGCAGCACAGAAATAAAATGGCCACTTTGCTCTTTCAAAAAGACAAAGGAAAGGTCAACTTTCAGCAACACATGGCAGTTTCATTTTTTTTTGTTTTAAACAAAGCTGTGGTTTGCAGGTTTTGGACTAAAATATCATGATTTTATTGAAACAGATATAGAACACCCTTCATTTATTCACATACTTGAAAATGAACATGCTTGAATTTGTAAACTTGTTTTCAATTTGACTTAAAACATTTTGCTTTCAGAAAACCAAAATCTATTTGTAAACTGTATCAATTTGTGAACCCTGATCTCACATTGCATAGTCTATTTTTGTCACTGAGCTCAAGCATGATTGTTTTAACTACTGATCTGCTTTGTATTTGGCCATTGATATTTTAAAGGTTGAGAGTGCCATCAGTCTATACAGTTGTCAAGATCCTATGAAATTACATATAACTTCCCACTTACACCCACATAAAATTTATAATGCAAGTTCCATAATAATTATGTAAGTTAAAGAACATTATTTTGGACAGTCAAGTGCCTCCAGGTGTGAGCATTTAGACTCCTTGGTGAGTTTTACACCCGCAAATGAATGGAGTGCTGTGCTGATTGACACTGCATCATGCTTTGCTTGGATCTGAGATGTTCTTGGGTTCATATCCATATAGAAATGTTGCAATTATCACCAGGATGGCTCCAAAGAAAAAGACACTGAAACAAAGAAGCAGAGATTTACACATGAAGTTTCTGCCCCTACCAAAAGCATTGAATTCGCAAACAACACATCCTGTATGCAGCTTTAATGAAGGAGAATTAATATGACATTTTACTTACATCAGTTTAGAATTTCGTTATGGGGCTCTGCAAGTGAAGCACTTATATCTGGCTGACTAGTAACACAACTTCCTTGGTTAACCTTACTTCATGTACATATATACAAATAAATTCAAGAACAATGAGAAGCCCATTATACCCCAACTAACTAACTTTCCACCATATTAATCAATCTATTTTCTATTCAGAAACACAGCTGTTTGAGATTAGCTTTGAATTTGTGCAATTAAAATGCCAAGCTCAAGTTCTTCATCCAAGACACCACCAAACCCAAAACAGGAAAATGGTGGGGTTTCATAGACACTAGATAGGGTTTTGAAAAGTCGGATGAATTACACAAGTTTGTAGCACAGAAAAAGGCCACATGGTCCATTAAATGCGAAAAGCAAACCAAACTAAGCCCATTACCCCATTCTCAAATATTTTATTTCCCCTTCAAATATCTACTCATGCTCCAACAGTCCTCTGTGCAAAGAAGTTTATTGTGATGTTTTCTCACACAATTTAGAATTTTGATCCTTTCATGCTAACTCCGCAAAGGGAATAAGCCTTTCCTTGTTTACTTTTTTAAAAACACTTATTTTTTAACATATCTATTAAAACCTCATCACTCTGCTATTCATTGACAACTTTACTCAAGACATTGGAGTACACCCAAGGTATTTTTCTCCTAAAATATGTTACTTCACATTTATCTATATTAAATTTCATCTGTCACCTATCTACCTGCTGAATGGCCGGAACACACAACAATATTATCTTTATGATTTGTGCTCTATGTCACTGAAAATGTAATTCAATAACTTGGGGTTGAGTTTCTGCAAATTATACAAGTACAATACGGGTAGAATCAGCTGAAACAGCTCATAAGCTTGGGGAATTTTTCAATTAAGTGAGTTATACCCAAAACCATCAACATCTTTTTTGTGATCTTTTGGGCTGGTACGTTTGAAATTTTGCTTTGGTTTGAAAGCCCTTCAAATTGTACACATTTTCTTATGTCATTGGGATATTTTAAAAGCCGTTTCACATCAAAAAAATGTTGCACTCTTCATAATTTCTGAGTTTATCAATTAAGTTTTTAAATGATTGAATGTAGTTTATGTTCAATGCTTTTGAATCACATTGGAGGACAGACAACATTAATTACAAACACATTTTGCTGAGAAACCTATTTTCAACTGTATTAATAAAACTGCACAAGGTTATCATTCTTCAACACATCAGGGAATACTTTTAAGATGGACAGAAAAAAGTGAAGCCAGTTTCAATTAAGCTGACCAATTGTGTTGATTTGTGAAATATTATTTGCAATATCACAAACATAAAAATTTTAGCATAAATGTGGAGCGTAATCTAACAATGTGTCCAAACTGTGAACCCTAACCTTATTTCATTTGGCTTTACTGCAGTCAAGTATCAGGTTTCCTAGTTTAAAAACTGACCCACGACATCTGATTTATTTTCTGTCTCAGCACTATAAGACAACTATGTAAAGTGAATATTTCTTTGTTTGTTCCTTGCTCCTATATTTATTATTTTCATACACTGAATTAAACGTGCTAAGTATCCAAAAGATCTAAACAATTCAGTGTGGCTGTACTGCATCATATTTTAAATCTCTCAGATTTTGCTCAAGGCAACATCTTTAGAATGCACATTTCGATCATCCAGGATGAAAAACTGTGTTTAATAATAACATTAATCTTCAACACACCATTGATCTAAATCATCTCTCCCTTGTACACCATTTGTCCCTGAAAAATATCACTGCATTTATAATATGTATATGATCAATGTAAGGGTCCCACAGCCACTTTGAGAATTCAACTAGTCAAAATCAACATAGTTTAGGCAAGTAGAGGATTTTAGTTAGACATTCAAATATAACTGTCCGTGAAAGTGCCTGATCACTGCTTTATCTTTCTTGAAACTTGGGTCTGAATCAATTACATTAACACGGGATAAAAGTTGCCTTTCCTCATTACAACTAAATTTTTAGAAAACATTCTTAATACTGAAATCCAGACAGTTTTATATCCGATTTTGATTGAGATGAATCTGGTCTCTGTCTCATCCAACTGTATTAGACAACAGTCCGTAGGATAACAATGCCTTTAGAACAGGCATAACTTTTACAACCTGACTTTAGTAACAATTTAGGGAAATTTCAGTAATAAATAATACAATCCAATATATTTTAGGAACAATGGGATGGGCTTATTAAAGTCATTGTTAAGGTTTACAAAAAGAAAAAGTTGACTTTAAAATTCCACAAAATAAAGAATTTCAAACATCTAGTGCAGAACATTATCTTCAACTTTATATAGGTAATTGTAACTAAAATAATGTATCAATGACAATAAACAAAGTTAAGGAATGAAAATGCAGAGGAACCAGGAGAACAAATCATCCATTGCTCCGTACCTTGTGGGCACAAAGTCTTGCAGCCAGAAGTAAGAGATCAATGTTGAAAGGATAATAGATAATGATGTGGCAAAGCCTTTCAAGATGTTATCTGCGTATTTGATGACTGCTGCAATTACTAGACCGCCAAGAGCCTAGTGAAAGAAAAACAGTATTAAAAAATTGTATATTTATAGTAATCATTTTTAACGAGAAAAGTTAATAACAAAGGGTTTTTTAGACTGAATACCGACAGACAACACTATCAACATCAAACAAAAAAAATCCACTAAAGCACCACAGTTTACTCTAAGGGACTTCATGATTATGACAATTAATTTTTCTTCCAGTTTTAAAATTTGTACAGTATTTTGGCAGAACTCATCAATGATTTGCCATCCAGACCAGTCCTGAGACCAGAGAACACACTACTGTCATATATTGAGCCATTGATCATTTTTCATGGTTGGATTACACCAAGTCGAGTTTAAAACACCAAAGTGCAGCAAATCTCGATTGCCACTCCACGTAATTCATGCTATTATAAGAAGTTAGGAAACAAGCTTGTTTCTGGAGCAGTATATTTGACACTATAGCTAGTGATAACTAATTATTAATTCTTCAGGCAGCATTTGTGGAAAATAATTTAGTAATTTCCATTGACTTGCATTGTCTTTTAATGTAGGATGAAATTAATACCAAAGAGATTAGTTTGCATGTGACTCCAGTCCTACACAATGGTTTGACTCTTGACTGTTGGGAGAAGTAGCTTATCATGTCATTCAGTTGTGTTGCTCCCTTTTTAGGGCAATGGAGGATAGATAATAAATGTTGGCCTTCCAAGAAGATTAAGCACAAGACATTGTTCTCAATTCATAATTTCAGCTAATTAACTGACAAAATGCACCTTGCCAATCTATTTGTTTTCTTAAGTTTGAAATATTATGGAGGGAGATCAATAATGAAGCAGCTGAAGCTAGCTGGGAAAAGGTCATTTTGCTGAGGATCATCTGCAGTGATACCCTGTGTTGATGTGATTTGTCTCTAACAATCATTATCACCTTCCTTTGTACAAGGCATGATTCTAGATTCTGATCCCCATTGATTTCAGTTTTACTTGGACTCTTTGGTGAGACACTTGGCTGAATGCAGGCATTCCCACTTCAGCTCTGTGTCCATAAGATCTGGTGTTAAAACGATCTTGATAGAACACAAACTCAGCATCAGTGAACAGGATAGTGCTCTTAAATGCTTATGGGCACTCGCCAGATGGTGTTCTATTCCTGCCCATCAATGGTAAAATCCAAGAAGCCCTGGATATTGGACATAAGACTTTTTTAAAAATTCATTCTTGAAGGCGAGTATCATTGGCAAGGTTACTGTTTGAAACTCACCCCAAATTGCCCTTGAGAAGGTTGTGAAATGCATTCTTGAACTGTGACAGTACATTTATGTAAGCACAGCAGTAAACAGGGATAACAAGGTGTACAGCTGGATGAACATAACAGGCGAGCTGCTCGGCCTGCTGTGTTCATCCAGCTCTACACCTTGTTATCTCAGATTCTCCAGCATCTGCAGTTCCTACTATCTCTGAAGCAGTAAACAGGAGCTGTCTGGAAAGGAATTCTTCATTATAAATGCAGATGGTGCTGCGGGAGTAGGCTGCATCAAGTAAGTGAACTGGTACGTTTGGATTGCTGATGATATTTGGGTAGGGAGGGCCTGAAGATTGGACATTGGGGATCTCAGGGCTGAGACTGGTGGTGTTTGTGGTGAGTACTTTGCTTGGTTTAATTTAAATTGAAGGGATGGTCAGAGTAAGTGTTCCCTGGTATCTTGGATACCGGATGCCTCACGTCTTCAGCCCAATCTGGTAGGCAGTACATTTCCTGCTCAACATGTGCCTTCATCGTGGCCCTCATTTTGATGCCTAAATGGACACAGCACTGAAGCCTCCCCACAAAACTCACCAAGGAGTTTTGACTTGGTAGGTAAGGTAGAAACTGTTTCCATTGGCCAGCATTTTAGTTCAAACCAAAAAGAGTAAGGTGGGGGGGAATAATTTTGTTTCCAAACACAAAAGGTTTGTTGGGATAACCAGAAACAAAATCGATAATAATTTTCAAGTGAGTTCATGTTAGGGTTCATATTTGAAGAAAAGTACAAATGAACAGCTTCTACATTGAGTGAAGTAGACTAAAAAGCCTCATTCAGTGCTGCAAAATTCCATAAAATTAAACGGGAGAATATTAGTTATTACCACCTGCAGCAAGAGATCCTCTATCTTTCACTACCACAGGAGACCATGTAGGAGTTGGCATATCATGGCAACATAGTCAGATCACATACAGTAAAGAGAATTTATTGAGATAGTAAATGGAGTAAAAAGCATCAAGGGGTAACAAACAGCTTCCAAACTCAATGCATTATAAATTTTTTTTTCAATAAAACAGCTGACAGAAGTAATATAGAAAGAGAATAACTAAATTAAGAGAGAACAGAAAAGATTAGAAATTGATAAGGAAGAACTTTGTCTGAACCTAATTAGGTTTAACACTGCTGTTGGCTGTCTTCCCTCAGATGTATGATGATGCATCCTATTAACTGTATTTAAACTAGAATAGTGGCATACTAGGTGATGCAGGCTGTGTGATTTGTATATGATTTTCCATACCATTGGAAATTTGACCTTTAAGTTCGTAAGATGGGTTTTCTGTGTATCTGAAATGAATAATTAACTTGTAAATATTTCTGTAGCCATAGTGATTTCATTTTACATACTTTTTGAGACCTACTGCAGAATTAATTGGATTTGTACACATTGGTACAGTTTTTACAACTGAACAAGATAAACAAACTCCAGTTGATAAGGTTAGGAAAGTTTTTTTTTGAAAAAAAAAACTTAATAGCTTGTATCTTAGAGAGATTTTCTTTCCAGTAGAGTTTTGGAGCAGTCCTGCAAAGACCTTTGATGAAGAGTCTTGTACTCAACAGCGCTCCTAAAAAGAAGTGAAGGATACAGGGAAGCTAGATTATATAAAAGAGTTCATGATGGTTCCAGACCAGAAGTGTTGGGATAAAATCCTAAAGAAGTTACTTAAAATTGCATATGTTTAAGCACAGGTATATAATTGATCCAGGAAGATGATATCTACAGTTCCAGTCTATAGATCAAAGTCACAAGTGAATTAAACCTATCGAGGTATTAGAGACAAGGACTCTGGTGTGAGTACTGTTAAAGTGATGCTTTTGGGTATAGCACAAACACTTTTATTTTTTGTTTCAATTTATAAAGGAGTTTTTTTTTAATGATTAATGGGATAATACATTTTACTGTGTAGTTTTAAAATCTTCGAATGTATAAGTGGATAAATTTGATTCATTTAATTTTATCTTCATCTCTTTTGTTAAAGCAAAATCTGTAGCATTGTTAACTTATATTTCAGTCTGGGATCTGCTTTGTCCACTAATAACATTAGCTGAGATCATAACTAATTTACAAATCCCTTTTCAGTTTCTACTGGCCCCAGTTAACAAATAAGTTGTTTATTTTCTCCTTTTAGTTCTTCAAAAGAGATTATTCTATTTTAGTGGCAGAACACTAAATGGGTGCAAAAACATTTACGTGACTTCAGTTTCTCTCTAATTGGAACTGTTTAAAAATCTACTCAAAAGGATAGCTGCAATATAATAAAAAAAAAATTTCCACTAAAACAAATCCAAAGCAACATTTGGAAGAAGCCTCAACTTGGTGCTAGTCCCTGCACATTTTTCCATCTTCAGGTCCACTGAGGAACCTCTGAGAGATTGGGGACATTTATTTAATTAATTTTAATTAAAATCTCCCCTTAGGTTTCAATATTTGATCATCTGCATTTTGTTGTTGTTTGGGTGTACAGAACTTGAGTATTGTTGAAAAAAAAAACCATATTTTGTCAAAGTTTTTCATTGTCTACTCATCAGGATAGTTTGCAAGAATGCCGACATAAAGGGAAAACAACATTTATGTTTATAGGAGAGGAGAGGGCAGATTGATTAGAAAGTTGGTTTAAGAGTATGATGCACCTGCATATACTGGGAACTATGTAATAGTGGACAGGGCCCTGACTTTTAAAACAGAAAGAATATGTACACACTGTATCTATTTCAACTCAACAAAATAGATGACAATCACTCTTTGGTTCATTCCTCAAAGAAATGCTTTGATCGGAGAGTCAACTTGCTCGATTTCAATTTGAATAAACCTAGCAGTTAGCTGTCAGTCACTATCTAACTGGTGCATTCTCAATGACAACATCTCTACCAAACAGAATTCAACTAATTGTCAGTCTTCTTCTACAGCATGAATGTTGTTTTCCCTTTACTTTGGTAGCCTTACGAACCGTCTTATGGAGTGCAAGATAAAAAGCTTCAAAAATATGTCATTTTCAACAATACCTGCATTAAGATTAAATTCAAACCTGTAGAGTGACAACAATCCAAGTGAATTTGTTGTACCCCTGGAAGAGTCCATGTTCTTTTACTCGTTGCCCATCATATACATATACACCCATGATTCCAAATATACTTCCGAACAAACCTAAAGATAAGAAAATATCAACCCATTATGATATTCCTTTTAGCTATTTCATGCACCTAATATTTTTATTGAATTATAATAGGGAAGTATAGTCTCATTTTTCTTGATTTTTCTGAATTATTTGTATTAATTCAGTGTCAGTGTCAATGTCAATCACCATCATCCTTATATCTTGTATGTGAATGGAACACTTGAAACATCAGTTACAGCTGAATGGTCACATTCAAAATTTTATTCAAAAGATGAAACTTCTATATAGGAGACCAGCTGACTCCTTAAGACCTTTAAATCATTTGTGGCATTGAATACAAGATAGTTACATTGCTTTCACTTTCACTTCCTGAAGGTTTATAAAGACAAAATCATAAAGCACTTGGTCTACACATGACAAGCGTTTAAAAATGCGTACAGGCTTTAAGATTTAAATACTACAACAGCACCGCAATCAAAATATTTTCTTACTTATTCTATTATCTAAGCAGAGATTATACAATCTGACAAGATGATGTCAAAGCAGAACGGGTGCATCTAATTTTATTGAAGCAAAATCTTGACGCTCTCGAGCAAATTTTACTTTTAATTACTTTGTTTTAGAAGGCTCATGGCTCACTCCACTGACACATCCATCTTAAAAATAACTATGACAAAACTGTCAAATTTTATATTCCAAGCATGTATAACAGGTTGAGAGGAAAGATAAACACATATTTCTGTTTTTTAGTGGATGAATTTGCAGCACACACATCCAGAAATGTCTTAAACCTATTTGATGTATCATATTTTACGTTGAATATTTTCAAACTTAATTCAAATGTAAAAGTTAGATCATAGAATCCCTACAGTGTGGAAGCAGGCCATTTGGCCCATTGAGTCCACAGCCATCCTCCAAGGGGCATCCCACCCAGACCCACCCCCTACCCAATCCCCATTACCCTGCTTTTCTCATGGCTAATCCACACATGCCTGGACACTATGGGCAGTTTAGCATGGTCAATCCACCTAACCTGCACATCTCTGGACTGTGGGAGGAAACCAGAGCACCCGGAGGAAACCCACGCAGACACAACGAGAGTGTGCGATATCCACACAGACAGTTGCCCAAGATCCCTAGCATTGTGAGGCAGCAGCACTAACCACTGAGCGACCATGTTGCGCGATCATTTTGGCTGTATTAAATTTGTTGTGAGGCCATACAGCCACTATTTTTATTCATGATGTGGAGGTGCCAGTGTCAGACTAGGGTGGACAGTCAGAAGTCACACGACACCAGGTCACAGTCCAACAGGTTTATACGAAATCACAAGCTTTCAGAGTGCTGCTTCATCAGATGAAAGTGTGTCAAAAGATAGTACAAATGATGTGAGTGTAGTGCCGACAGGCTGAATAACAAGTTTTTGCAAGTGATGAAAAGTATCAAAGTGTGAGTAAAGCGTCAACAGCTGAATAGCAAGTGAAGAGATTACCTATGATTCAATTAATTAAGTCAGAGGGATAATTATAAAAAAAATCAAAAATAAGATGGTAATAGAGACAAACCAAGTGGCTGGAATAACATGCTTTCCTGCAGCGTATGAGGTAGGCAACACTGACTGAGTACGAGTACCTACTGTGTACGTGGTGGGTGATGTTCCCACATGTGATGGAAGTATCCATGTCGACGCTTTGGCATGTCTTGCAGAGGTTGTCACAGCAGGGTTGTGCAGTGTTGCGGTCACTGTTTTCCTGAAGGCTGGGTAGTTTGCTGCGAAGTGGTCTGTTTGAGGTTAGGCGGCTGTTTGAAGTGAAGGTGTAGGGATGGCCTTGGTGAGATGTTTGTCGTCATCATCAATGACATGGCGAAGGCTGCATATGCTGTAGGAAAGGATGTCCCCAGCCATGGTATATCGGCAAGACCATACAGATCTATGAGAACAGATGAACGGACCCTGCGCAACAAGTGCCAGGCAGGAGAGATCCCTCCCAGTCAGGGAACACTTCAGTGGTCAAGAACATTCAGCATCCGATCTATGGGTAAGTGTCCTCCAAGGCAGCCTTCAAGACACAACAATGCAGAAGTGCCGAGGAGAAACTGATGGTACCCATGAGGACAGCCTTAGCCATGATCTTGGGTTCATGGCACGCCACATGTAACCTTACCATATTGTTGCGTTTGTAAAATCTTCTTTACCATTCTGTTTTGACACCATCACCTTGATAACGTGTAATTATCTCACTAACTTAATTAGTTTGTACAGTTTTGTATTACTTGTTACTTTTGTTAGACTCTCATCTTGCGACGCTTATACTTATCATCTTATTCCAGCCATTTGGTTTGTCTCTAGCACCACATTACTTTTGATTTTTTGTAATTATTTTTCTGCCTTGAATAATCAGATCATAGGTCTTCCCTTCACCAGCTATTCAGCTGTTGAGACTTTACTCATACCATTTGACATTTTTGATCACCCACAAAGACTTGTTATTCAGCCAGTCGACATTCCATTCCCACCATCTTTTCACACTCTTAATTACCTGCAATTATCTCTCCGCCTATAAATTTTGTGCCTGTGCACTTCCCTCCACTTCACCTGATGAAGGAGCAGCTCTCCGAAAGCTTGAGATTTCAAATAAACCTGTTGGACTATAAACTGGTGTTGTGAGACTTTTTTTATTTATTCAGGTTGGAGTTACAGTACTAGAGCTGCCATATATATATATATATTGCTTTAATTTTTTCCTTCTCGGACACATAAATTAGCGTCATATTGTTCCCAACAACTTCAGGCATGTCCATGTAGGTCTTCCTCATTACTCTGCAAAGGGGTGCAATTATATTTCATTTATTAGTTTCATGCTATAGCAATCTTCCCTCCTTATTCCTATTCAGATGGCAGCTGTGGCTCAGTTGTCTGCACTCTCCCCAAGTCATAAGATCAAGTTCCATTTCAGGATTTAAACATGGAAATCAAGACAGTCATGTGCAGGTTTGAGGGAGTGCTACACAGCTGGAAGTGCTGTCTTTCAGGTAAGATATTAAACTAAGATCCCATCCACCCTGCCAGCTGGGCATAAAAGATCCAGGTCACTGTCTTGAAGAAGAGCAGGAGACAGTCTTCCCTAATCTCCTGGTTAACATTCATTCCACATTCAAAATCACAGTCTAGTGATACGCTTTGGAAGTTCAAAGAACAGCGCCATATCTTTGGACTTTATATATTACAGCCTTCTGGACACAACATGGAGTTCAATAACAATAAACTCTGCCTTCATGCATGTGCGTGCGTGTGATCTTTTCCCATTAAGGATTTCTTTTGGTGGGGTTGAAATGTCGTCATTCATGCATTAAATCAGATACAACTTTTGCATCTGTACTACACCCACCACCACTCTCTTTTGTTGTTACATCATTAAATATTTTGTTATTCTGCCCTGCACGCTATTGCAGAGCTTCGCTCCTTTTGTTGTTCAATCTTCAACACCCTGCCTTAGAATGGTTTAAAGGCTCCTACATTTCTACTTTTTTCAGTTCTGATAATATTTCAGGTTGAGATGACCTATTAACTCTGGTTTTTCTCTCTCTACAAATGTTGCCTGATCTGCTATTTCCACCATTTTTTTTTTTAGTTTTTATTTCAGATTCCCAGCATTTGCCCTATTTCATTTTACTTTCATAAATTTGAACTCGATTGCAATGTGTGATGTTCTACAGCAAAGTTGGCATATGTTTTGGGGGGTTGTCTGCGGGTACGTTTCTTTAACCTTTACTGAACTTCAAAATGACAATCTTGTGTTTCGAACATTCATCCCTGGTACAAAAACGAGCACTGAAACCTCAGTCTATCCCAAATTCCAACCCAGAATTCTGTAGCATAATGTTAGCTTTGGCTTGTGCTGTTCAACTAGAATTAATTATGTAACTTTTAAACCCACTATCTTTATCCTGCCTGAAATATGAAGTTACTTTATCTCTGGCCTACTTATTCTATCTTTACTAAACTAACAAGATTAACCAAGTGTAAATAGGATTAAATAAGTTTAGATATTATTATAGAATCATAGAATGATATAGCATAGAATGAGGCTATGCCTGTCCTATCACTTTAGAGAAGCTACACAATTAGCTACATGCCTCATCATTAAATATGTAACTGGTTTCCTTTCAAAGATTTCTGCTGAATCCTTCCATATACTGTAATTCAGATCATAAAATTTCACTGATTAATTCTTCCCATCCCATATTGCTTATGGCCCTAGATCCCTCTGCCACTAGAAATAGTTTTTCTTTATTTACTATATCTGAATCATTCAAGATCATGAATACATCTCTCAAATCTCATATTAATCTTCTCCCCTTGAAGGAGGCCAACCCAAAGTTTTTGGTCTCTCCATTTATTGATGTCCCTCTTCCAGGGTTTTGTTATAGTAAGTGTCTTCTGCAAATCTCAGACCTTGACATCCTTCCTAAATTATAGTGCCTGAATTAGACAAAATTGTCCAACTGGGGACTAACCAATGGTTTACAAGGGTTTACCTCAATTCCGTACTTCATGCTCTACCTCACTTTTAAAATTTTCTTAAATAGTATCTTAACTCGTCCCACCATCTTCAAAAGAAGATATGCATGCACTTGGGTAGGTGCTTCCTAAAAGTTACACTATCCATTTGATATGGTGTTATGTTGTTATTTTTCTAAGAGATCTACTTCTGTTTGTTTGATTCAATATCATGGTTATCATCAAAAGCACTACTTCATGTACAGCATATCAATTTCTTCGCATCTGTAACACTGCAATTAAGCTGATAAAGAAATCAGTTTAAACAATCAGCTCTCATTTCTATATTCTTATCTTGCTAAAAAGAACACTGAGTTATCACAATATTTTTCTGGTGCCCCCTGGCGCTACAACACCACACAGGTTAAAAAGAAACATACTGGAGTGAGGGTTTTGGGAAAATGAGACAACTTTGCCCAAGATCTGTTCGGTCATGCTGGATTCATAGCTACTGTCTTGATCACTGCTAGCGCATCAGGGTGGTGTTGTTCCACAGATGCAAGGAATTGAAAAAATGGTTGACATAAAAACTGGCCTCAAAAAGAACCAAGTGGCTCGAGTTAAGAGTGAACAAAGACCTAGAGCAATATTTCGCTAGGAGCATTACGATTGGTCCCTGGTAAACATATGCAAGTTAATTATAAATAACCATTTTTATACATAAATGTTTACCTTTATATTATTGGTATCGTACATTTGAGTTGCATTTCAGGACTGCAATCATAGGTCAAAATAGAAATATTCAGATTTGGTCATACTTTACTCACCTAATTGAATGTTTCTAATCCAAACTGACTGTTTTGTCCCCTTTAGGATTTTCTCAAAGTAAACTCCTGCAAATCCACTGGATAAACAAGCACTGAGCACAGCTATCAAACCCACAAACTGCGAACCTGCAGAGAGCTCCTGCTTTACCTCTTCCATGGTGTCTGTCGGCCACTAAAACAGATTAGATAATTTTAATTTAGCATGTGGAAAACAAGCATAATAAAATGTGTTACTTACAACGTATGTTACTGTAGAAAAATGAAGAGAGATGTCAACTCAGTTCCAATGATAGCGTTCTCATCTCAGTCAGAAGGTTGTGGATTCAGGCCCTGGTGTATAATCTAAGCATGTATTCTAGGCCAAGACTTTGATACAATGCTGCATCACTGAAGGTGCTAGCTTTTTGATGAATTGTCAGGGGTCTACTATTGGAAGGCTGTAGAAGCTTTCGATGAAGGACAGGGAGTTCACATGGTGCCATGGCAAATTTTTTCCCAGAACTAAACACTATCAAAAACAAACCGAATAGTCATTTAACTCATGCTGTTTCTAGGTTGTCGTTGTTTTCAAAAGCAGCTGTCACATTTGTCTAAAAATTACAGTGAACTTTGTGTAATCTGGCACTCTACCAACTGGAATTTCTGATATTCTTGTAGTATGAATTGTTACTCTGCCAATCAGAGCCAGATATTTTGCAGAGAGCTTTATAAGACTAGGCAAGCTTCTGGCAAAGACATTGGTAGCTCTTCTTGTTTGTAACTGCTGTTGTAATTTCTAACGTTTCCATTGTATCAATCATAAACCCCATCCCGCCATTATGGCACCCAATGGAAGCACAATAGAACTGTGTTGACACCAAGCAGAAAACTGACATCTGTACATGTATTAAAAGGGTGAGAATTGGAGGCTTTTGATCAAAGAATATAAAGTTGGCTCATTGGTGATATCAATCATCAAGGGTCAAAAAGAACAACTGTTGCAATTTTTTGCTAGGTCTGAATCAAATAAGCTATTGATGGATGTTGTACTCTACATGCACCCAAGTTAGAGCAGTGTTTTATACAAATATTTTTTGTAAAAATATTCAGTACATATCCCTAGCTCATTGCTTATTGAAAAGACAAAAAAAAAAGAATAATTAGGATAAGAAATCAATTAAATTGTGTGCATTTTTGATGGGTAGCTTTTGCATTTTAAACTTAGTCATAGTATTGGAAAGCTGGATGTATCCAATTAATTAAAAAAATCAGTCGCTCATGTAGCTACAGAAGAATACCATGAAAAGTTTAAGTTAATTTGTGAACATAATCTATCCCTTGATCAAACTTATAATGCATGTGAAACAGGTGTACATTGGCTACGTTTGCCAGAAAACTACCTGGCAGGTGCAAGTGAATTTGGTTCTACTAATTTTAATAAAAGATAAAATTACAGTGCTCATGTTTACAAATGCTGCAGGCTCACATGAAACTTTCAGCATTTGGAAAATTTAAGCATCCTCTGTCATTTATAGATTTTACAGTCACCTATAATTTACAACTTGCCAAGCCGTGCAAACTAATGGATTGACAACGAAATGTTTCAAGGATAGTTTCATAATGGTTTTAAACTCATAGTGGAATACCAATTTACAAAAACAAACAAGCTTGAAGATAGTGAGGCCATTCAGTGCTAGTCAATCAAGCTCACCCTGACGAATCCAAGTTAGTGACCTGTAATATTCTTACCAATTTCCTGTCTCCTGATGTAATCTCATTAATTCAACCTATGGGGGCCAGGATGTAATCCTTTATTCTCATATGGGATGTGGGTCTTACTGGCAAGATTGACATTCATTGTCCATGAACTGACTTGTTATACTTTCTGGAGATGAGAAGAATGAGTGAAGATCCAATTGAATTATAAAGATGCTAAAGAGATCTGACAAAGTAGACATGGAAAGGATGTTATCCCATGCAGAGCAATCTAGAAATGAGAGGTCATACTTTTAGAAAAGGAATGTCAGACTTAGGGTCATAGAAATAATTTCTCCTCATCTGTTTGACTCTAACAAAGTATTATGAATATATGGAATTCACTACCCATGATGATGGACACTGGGTCACTGTGGAGATTTAAGGAGGAGAGAGATTTTTAATTAGTAACAGGTGAAGGGTTACAGGAGAGCAGGCAGGAAAGTGGAGTTGAGCTGAGATGAAATCAGGCACAATTGTGTTAAATAGTGGAGCAGACTTGAGGGGCAGATTTGCCTACTTCAACTTAGAGTTCATTTAGTTCTCTAAGCCATTTCAGAAGACAGTTAAGAGCCATGTACATTGTGAATATGAAATTAAAGATATGAAATGGTATACAAAACTGAGTTCATTAGTGAGTCCATCAGCATGAAAACACCAAACAAAATTTTCAACTGATTTCTGGCATAAAAATTGTTAGTTTTTGAAACAGGCCTGTTCTTGGAATTCAGTAACATGTGCAATGTTGGGGAGGGCTTGAAGAAAACTGTTACCAAGCATTACATTTACAGAACGCTCTTCTAAAGATGATTAAGAAGAATTTAAATGTACAAACCTAAAATGAATACATTATTTGAAAGTACAGAAGTGGTGAATGTTCTCCTTTTCTTTTATTCATTCATTCGATACGGGCAGTGATATTATTACACATCCTCTGTTGCACTTAAGAAGGCGGTGCTGAGCTACCTCCTTGAACCACTGCAGTCCATTTTCTGTAGGTAGACCTACAATATCTTTATGGAGGGAGTTCTGGGCTTTTGACCCAATGACACTGAAGGAACAGCAATACATTTCCAAGTTAGGATGGTGAGTGGCTTGGAGGTGAACTTCCAGGTGGTGGTGTCTCCACGTGTCTGGTGCCCCTGTCCTTCGAGATGGCTGAGGTTGTGGGTTTGGAAGGTGCTATCTAAGCAGCCCTGGCGATTTGCTACAGTTTATATGGAGATTGTACACACTTAGTAATGAGCGTCAGTGCAGGAGGAAGTGAATGTTTATGGATGTGGTGTCAATCAAACCGGCTGCTTTGATCTGGATGGTGTCAAGCTTCAAGTAGTTGGAAATGCACTCATCCGGGCAAGTACAGAGTATTCAATTATACTACTAATTTGTGTTTTGTACATGATAGAAAGGTTTTAGGGAGTCAAAAGATGAGTTACTCAGTGCAGAATTCCTAGCCACTGACATGCTCTTGTGGCTGCAGTATTTATAAGGCTGGTCCAGTTCAATTCCTGGTTAACAGTTACCCTCAGGGTTTGATACTAGGGAATTTGATGATGGTAGTGCCATCAAGGGGCAATGGTTAGATTGTCTGTTGTTGGAGATGGTCATTGCCTGTGACTTGTGTGGGATTAATGTTTTTTGCCACTTGTCAGTTCAAACCCAATGTTGTCCAGGTGTTAATGTAACAAAGAACTGTGGATGCTGGAAATCGGAAACAAAAACGAATTACTGGAGAAACTCAGCAGGTCTGGCAGCATCTTTGGAGAGAAAGCACAGAAATGTTTTGAGTCCAGAACTGATAGTAGTTAGGAAAAGGTAGTATATATTCTGAGCAATTTCCTATGCCTTCTACATCTTCAGGGACAGTTGTAAGAGTGGGTGAAGATTAGTTCCTCGAGTACCTATGTACTGCATTATTTTCTACTTAATTTTAATGTACTGGAGCTTAGAAGTTTAAAAAAAACTGTTCCTTACTTCCTACGTACCTGCATATCATTTTATACTTTATTCTTTGAAAGTTCATGCTACAAAGTATTGCACTGTATTCCATCAGTAAACGTGTTGATTAACTGGCACCATCCATTCCCCAAGCACACTGGATAATAAAAGGCTTTACACTGTTAAGACTAAACTTCAAAAGTACTTCATTAACTGTGAAGTCATTTGTGAGATCTTAAGGATTTGAAAGGCTTTATGAAAGTACAGAATTTTTTTTTTGGACTAATACTTAAAAACAAAAGTTGGAATTGGTGATATTTTTAATGAGGCCAGAGGGGTCTGATCAGGAAATTCCAGAGCTTAGAACGTAGGCAGCAAAAAGTCACTGGCACCAAATGGTGAATTAATTACTTCAGGATGTACAAGAGGCCAGAATTAGAGACACATGAATATCTTAGGATTGGAGGGCTGCTTCATTTACTCTACACCTTTGCAATTAGAGTTCATTTTGAACAACATATTGGTATCGCAAGTTAGTTGTTTCCAAGGTTTATATTAAGGTGCACACTGACTGCAGACATATTTCCTATTGGACTGATTACGACACATTTTTTCTCCAACTCTATAATGTTGACAGCAAATATATACATTAAATGCAGTACGGGATCGCTTATAATCTGAAACTTACAAATTTAGATCTAATACATCTGGGACAACGTGCACAACTAACAGCTATTCTTTACCACACTGTGTTAAAGACATAGGGTGCCTATAGTATTCCCCAGTTTACTCTGAAAGCTGAAAAATCAGTCAGACTACTGTTTTGTCATTAAGTTCATAAAACGTGACAAAACAGCAAAAATAAATTGGAAGGGATTAACTGTACAGCCATTTCCAAAAACAAAAACAAAATAATAAGAAGCTTTACCAACTATAGTTAGTACAGTGCATGTTGTAAATACGTCCTCAAAATGCCTTTGAAAATCTGGATCAAATAAAAGACATGTTCAGAAAACAGAAGCACGGGGTATTAAACGATGGCATAATTGTCCAACAGAACAGGCACGCAAAAGTGATGAATAGATTTTTTGACTGTTTTCGATGTTATTTATAATTGACCTGAACTTGGGTTTGGAGAGTAGTATTTCAAATTTTGCAATGGATACAAAATTTTGCAACATAGAAAATAGCGAGCAGCAAAATTCAGGACAACACACACCAGTGAAATGACGTAGCAGATTCAGTTTAATATAGGTAAATTCTGAAGTCACAAACTTTAGGAGAAACAACATGAAGTGGCAGCATAACTAAAATTTTGACAGGAATACAAGAACAGACGAACTAGTGATACATATTCATTAATCCTTGAAAGCAGCAGGGAAAACCGATAAAGGTAATGGCTTTCTGAAAGAGCCACTGAAAATTTTCACAGATTACTGCTTGTTTGGCCTCAGCTGCAGCATTGCAAACTCTCCCAGGCACCAAACCAAGAAAGCTGTT